AAAAAAAAAAAAAAAAAAAAAAAAAAAAAGGGAGGCAATCATCTTTGAATCATTCCACCGAAGAGACGAGAGCAGCGGACACATGACAGAAAAAAAGGGTGCGCTAAAAGCGCTATGAATTTCTGCGACAAAGCTGCGTCGACCCGCTGGCAAGAGGCAACGCTGGAAGTTCTTCCGTCTCCGGCTCCTCGTCCGACGGGGGCAGTGGCGTCTCCCACGACTCCAGATGGCTGTACAAAGATGGGTCGTACTGCCGTGGAGGCTCCGCAGTCGGAGGTCGTCTTCCGCCCTGACCTGCACCAACACCTGCGCGTGCCTGCATGCCCGCCATCGGACGTTCCTCTGCCGCCCGTTTCATCGACGCCCGCCTCTTGCGATGTTGTTTCCACGACCGCCACGACAAACACACGTGGAGGAAGACGACAATCAGGAACACGACGACAACGAGTACCAGCAGAGGCAATCTCCTCTGCACGTCAGCCATCAAATTCACCTCGGGAGCCACCCTCGCACGCGACTACTGCAGACGAGTGTTCCGACATGCCGGGGGATAGGGCCGCTCGACCTTCATATGCCGACAACTGGCAGAGAAGACGACAAAGGCGCCTGCCTGCGATTCAAAAACCGACCGTTGCCGCCCGCGCACCGCCCGAAGCGCCTCCGTATGTCGTCCCGCGCACGTCGTCGTCCTCCTCTGCTACCCGCAACCGAGCCAACGGTCCACTACGGACGTCAGCCCGCCCACGGTCGCCCCCCTGCGCTCCACCCCGTCGGCCAACGGCTACCGCTGGCGGCCGTTGCCGGCCTAGACCCGCAGAAAACCTCCGATGTCCGACCACCCACCAGACGGACCGCTCCTGGACCAGCAACCCCATGTCGACGGTGCCATGCGCACGACGCAATGAGTCCGTGAAACGCAGGAATCCTAAACTCTTCAGTAGGTCGGGGGCTACTAGAAAATTTAGGACGATTTTGCCTGGGGAATCCTAAATCCTTTAGGACTCGTCCTAACGCCGTTTTCACAGGCACTTTTAGGAGTGTCTAACGAGACCCTAACTCCTAACATACTCAAATACTCATCATACCTTTCTGAAAAACTATGTATAAGGGAAACTGGACCCGTTTCCAGCAGGTGCAGCTCCCCGCCAAATGAATGGAGCCAACAGGTGGCCTGCTGCTAGGGGTGGGTGCTCGTATCACTATCCCTAGCAGGACCAACTGATGTAAAAAACAAAAAACAAAAAACAAAAAAAACTATTGTTTGATTTTTAACAGATGTCCCAAAGGACAGAGGTGTAATTGCAATTACCCTTTGACAATGTGAGAGAAATTCGGAAAATTAAAGGCCTGATGAAGCATTCCATGGGCAGATAGAAACCCCCAAGAGTGGTAAATAGTAAATACTAAATAGTAAATAATAAATATAGCAATCAATTACTGCTCATGCATATAACCGTTATCCATTCATTCAGTTTCAGATGGGATGAGGCTAGTACTTACAATGGTGCAAACAGGCATAATATACCAGTGATGTTTCCTGCACAGAAAAATAAGTCGACAAATGATTCAAAATACTAGTCAGTTAAAAAAAAAAAGCGGCTAACATGTCAATATGCGCTCAATGTCAGTCCAACAAGATCAACCTAAATGCCAGTAAATGGTAAAACGGAAAATATAATAAATCATTTGCACTTCATTCGAGTGTTAACATACATGATCTGAAACACAACGAGATCATGCCAAATTGGGAGAAGAAAATTTATCAGACCATCAGCAATCAAAAATTCAAAATGCATTAGACCATGAACAATTATTCAACGACAGGTTCATTCTTCCCAATACATGAGATGCCAGTACCCAAGACAAACTGCCACGATCATTTAAAAATGTACTTCAGACCAAGAAGATACACACAAGAACAGAATGAGATTTGTAAAGCGAAGATGACTGTGACCTGTTTTCCCAAAGGAAAAAAGAAAACAAGATTTACGAACTTACTCCGGTCTCCTTGTTTTCGTTCTTGACCCAAGAAGCTTATTTCAAAAGTGTAATGGATGGTATTGTCTCCGAGAACTACAGCCTGGAATTCAGCAGCCCGAAGCACAACTCAAAGTACGGTCCGCTAGTTTTTGTTGAACTAAACCCGACATTTGCTGAAGTCAGCCAGGGCCACAGCTGGCCTCCTTAATGTCTCCAATACCTAGTGCCACCTTCCCAATGTATCTACGGGGCCTGCCACAGCTCGTCAGTGATTGTGGAAGTCCGCCCATAGCCAAACAGAGAGAGAAGGTCAACTGCACTCAACATAACAGCATGGAACGCTAATGCTGCTCAAAAGCAGTTGGACTGAAGCAGCTTGGCAATGCCCGCCTTAATGACGTTGGTAGTGAGAAATGGTTGATAGAGATATAGGTAACGCCGTTTGGCTGGACGTCTAGTTCCCCCCCCCCAGATTCTGAAGTGATAAGTACCATTGCCAGCATAGTGGAAAGAGGGTAGTGACTCTAGCGAGTCAATTTGAAAAAGTCACATGATGTGTGTTCGTCAACCATTCATGGGAGCAACACCAGATTGTGGCTGCTCAAACCAGATAGTGCTTCATACAAGCCCCTACAGATTAAAAAATACTTTTTTGGAAAGCAAGCATTTGGGCTCAAGAGGGATGGAGATCAGTTTGACGATTTGCGAACTTACCGACCAAACTGATTCGACTGATGCAACCACAAAAAATTCACAACAGAACTCTTTCTAATTTTGGCATAAAAAGAAGCAAATGGAATGCATGGTGTCAACAATAGTCAATGTTCTGCCAGTCTCCCCAAGCATCACGACGTCCCTTTCTTCCACCGTTTCGGTTGAATTCTTGGACCTCTTTTCTAAACATTGTTACTTTTTTTTAGTCTTTTAGGTACTACTTTTGTTCGTTTGGGATTGGGAACTTGAGCTTCTCTCCCATCAATAAGCCTTGCCATCAAAGACACTATTCTCGTGAGTCCGCTGAGGACTACATTGCCCATGAGAGCAGGTCATGCACTGGATGATTTTCCCTAGCGCAATTGCAAGGGTTATTGGGGCTTATGGACTCGTAGTAATAGTTATTGTCAAACAATTGCCTGGGGTTATTGGGGGTTATGGACTCCCAGAAATAGTTATTGTCAAATAGGTAGCCCCGTTAAGCCCCTTTCAGCCACCACTACCTTTCCCGGGCAACCTCGAGAAACAAAAATGTAACATTCCAGGTTCTTCTGAAGGCTGGGGCTACCGGACCCGAATGACTGGTGGCACCAGCCGAAAGAAAAAAGGTGCTGTGCTGGCACTTCGGCAGAGCTGAGGGTGCAGTTCTTTTCTGCCTTGCGGTGAGGCTCGCTCTGAGGTAATAAGTTTTACACTCGGTTTGGACCCTATTCTGGACCAGATGGTTGGGATGGGGGTAGAGAGGCACACTAGGCTCAGTAGGGAGACGGAGGAATGGTTACGGGTTGTCTGTTCGGTATCTGTTGGAGGGTCAGTTGGCTCAGGTTCATTCGTGGAATTGCTGAGCTTTCCCCAGCTTAAAAAAAAAAAAAAAAAAAAAAAAAAAAGAGGCTCAGAGGTAGTTGTGGCTTATACCCCCCTCGAACCCACCTTCCGCACCCCCAACTAACAACATTGAAAAACAAAAAGGAGGCCTTCCGTATCCCCACCCAACAACACTGAAAAACAGAAAGGATGCCTGAAATGCCACACTGGGGGAAAAATAAAAAATAAAAAGAAACGGCAGATGCGGCAGGTTTTGAGTTTGCAAAGGGAAAAAAAACAAGCGCCCGCAAAGATATCACGGTGCGAGTTTGAAATGGCAATTTGGGTAGAAAAGAATCCGTTGGGTCTCCCCCCCCTTCCCCGTCTGACACCACGGCCGACCCCTGTACTTATGACACCCAGCCTGACACCACAGCCGTTGGTACTCCATTGCTTTTTCAAACTTGGTGCCTGTTTTCTTTGCCGGGGCGTGTTTTTTTTGCTCATTCGATACTCGGAAGTGACCTCAACGTACTTGCCCCAACTAAGACACATGCCCAGTCTGGCCCGAGCCGGAGGACCCCCGCGCAAGTTGCCCGGCTGCGCCATCGGGCATCCTAGGCTATCTATTTGACAATTGTTGGGGCACTTGTAAGTTCTCAGGGACTGCCTATCCCCAACAATCAAGCAATGATCACACTTAGCCTAATAGTGCCTAGTTTTTCCATGATACCTTTCTTTCACTCCATTGGAAAGTGGGACAGATTCCGACCACCACATAGAAGGTGAGAAAGATTCCCTCCACTGCTGGCCGCTGGTTGAAATTACAGATCTACTGTGCTTCTCGGCAGTTGGCATCATTCCCAGGTCCCTCTCTCCCCAAACTTGAGGGTGATGATTGACAGAGACCTGTTTCTCAGTGGGCAATACACTCTTGAACTTTTCCAGTGGGCTTATCTTTTAAGGGTGGGGCCAGGCTCGCACTGCTTTTGGAGCCCAAGACCAACTGAAAAAAGCCACGGTCATCATCGACAGTGGGATTGACTTTTTCGAAGCAATTCTGTGGGGATCAACACGAAATACTTCCTTCACTGCAGACTCGCCCAGCTTCAGAGCCGCAGTTCTACCCTCCTCTCCTCCAGGATGACAGCTGTGATCTCCAGCTTCAAGAAGCTCTGATGATATGGGTCAATATTCCCCACTTTCCATCAAAAGAGTCTCAAGTTTCAACTGAAGATACTCAGAGCTCTTGATGTTAGCTTCTTTTACTTCGGCTCCACGAAAAAGGAGGGAAGCATCCTATCCACCACAGGCCGCTGAACACCACTGGCAACATACTGGCTAAATTTGCAGATCTGCAGTGATTTCGAATCATTGGTCAAATTTGGTCTCAGAGCTGCCAACACCTGTGCACCAAGCGATGGAAACTTGGCCCTGCCCCGATGATGCTGGCTACAAATAATCGGACGTCCTTTTGGCAGTATGCCCACCTGAAGCTGGGACCACACCCACACTGGTATCCAAATTGCGAGTATGGTTATCAATCCGGACAGCCATCCCGATTCCAGAACATTTGGATTCAGTGTCGGAATAGATGGTCCGGACTGGATCCTTGCCTAAAACACCAAAAACAATCGGAGGGTGTTGGGTGGGGGGTGGGGAGCCTGGGATGTTGCCTCCCTGCTACCCCTTCACGGATGTTTTCACAATTTTAGCGACTCGTATGTTGATCCAAACTTGATGGTGTAGGTTCCCGCACTCCTATCGCCCTGAATCTGTGAGGCTTTTTTTTTTTTTTTTTTTTTTTTTTTTTTAGTTTAAGGCTTTAAGCCCTTGTGCAAGGCCTCTATCCCGTGGTGGTAAGAGAACCTCCGGAATTGAGGCTTTGCCTGACAGGCTGCTCCATCTATTGGTGGGGAGCATCGCCTGCTGGAAACCGGGCCCAGCGTCCCTTTGATACATCTTTTCTTTTCTGTGGAGGAAGAACCAGTACCGAACTTCGATCAATGTAGAGAACGCATTCCTGCCAGCATTGATTACCCTGGATTCCAGGGGATTGACTGAGTAGTACAGAAGGTCCTGTGATACAATACTGTCCTATCGCACTTTTTTTTTCTTCTTTCAACCTGGCACAGTAGGACTGTACAATATCCCCTCCCAGTCTCTATGACTGTCCTCCTATCCCATTAGACGTCTTCAAAGGGGTTCTGGCAATGAAATCACAGGCGATACTTCTGTGTAGGTCCAGACTCCATAAGCCTCCATGTTCAACAATCCTCTCAATATTAGACATTTCATGGATTGACGGAGGATTTCGGGGAGGCCGTGAGGGGAATGCATTAGGTTTTCTACGCAGCATTAGTTTAAATGCACGGAAGAGAGGGTAGGTAATGTAGGTGTCGAGGGACATCAATTACATGGCTTGGGCCGGAGGAGTCTCTACCCATAATATCCAGTAAAACTGTAAAACCCAAGGTATACAATAGAATCGTATGGGTTTGCGAAAAAAAAGTCATCCTCTGTTGCAAATTTAACCACGACAAAATCTCCTGTTCTGAAGTTAAAACGGAAGCAATGATTGTTCAAGTTTATTAGCCTGCTCCATGTTCAAGCTTGCCTTTTGTGTATCCGCTCTTTTACCTGGCAGTTGTCTAATTCCTGTTGGCAGATAACTCCTTGGCTCCTGAGAGCAGGATGAAAAATCCACTCCCCACATAAATTGGTCAGGAGAGAAACCTGCTAACGAGTGCACAATACCACTACTCAACTTACATACTCTTGACAAGTGTTTATCCCACTTGATTTAGACTGGATGAATAAACGTTTGTAAGATTGAAAGAAAGACTGGTTCATCTCTTCAACATCTGTCCGCTAATGTCCGGAGGCCATCTTAAGCTCGTGTCCAGACGTGAATGGAAAAAGATAAGATTTATTTAGGAAGTGCCGCACCGATCAACCCAGCCTTGGTTGAACCCGTCAACGAGAAGCTCTATAGGTCCACGAGCGAGGAGTGGAACAAAGTCCACATACTCAGGGAAA